AGCAAATCTTTTGCTTTGTTTGCAATAATGATTTGCCTAATCAACAGGAGAATAGTTCCTTCTTCTGACCAATTTTCACTTTAGCTTACTTTAACATAGCCTACTGAAGATGCAGACAAATCTGTGAAGTCCAATTTAATCATCAAGGCAAAATCCAACCACAAAAGAAAAATAAGAACAGTGGGCTTCAGATGTGCTTTTTCTGTGATCTTTTATACAAAAAACACTGATACACACAAGTCCAAAGCATCACCAGCGAAGCTCCAGTGCCTGATACAAATGGGAGCAAAGGGTCAACCTCGAGAAGAGATTTTGATAAGCAGCTTCTGTTTTCACTCATGTGCAGGTTGGGCCTTCAAACAGGCCCACATGCGTACAGAAATCGGACCTTGTGTGAGTTATTTTAAGTGAACGGCAGACAAGTGTTAAGCTGAGGATGGCATGGCTTTCATCTGCATCACGCACATCAAGAGCTCTCTGAAGTCATCCTGATAGACTGGATGGATTAACACCACATGCACGTTTCTTCTGCTGAAGTTTAAAGCTACGATTTCTAAGAAATCGTTCCAGCTTCCTCAAGTCAAAACGTAAAAGATTAATTCAAAATCCACTCAAAGCACATCATTGAGGTTTTCTGAATCTCATCTGACTGTTCATCTCAAATTTCCTGCTACTCTGTGTAAAATACATCCAAAAAAAAAACATGAATGCCTCACCTTCTCAGTTCAATGAAACTTCCCACAGACCTCTATTTATGCCGCCTCATCTGCAGACAGCACCATTTATCCTGCTTCGTATGAAGTCACTCAGGCATTCAGGATTTTTCTTCTTATGTATGAAAACATTTTTCTTTGCGAAAGATTAAAGTGTTTTCCCTGTGCACATGTGCGCACAAAGCATACTTAGACCTTTTCTCATGAGCAGTAGGGCCAGTAATCTCTGTTGAAAGGGGCAAAAATAAAGAACAGGAAAAAAAATATTTGCAATCCACCATCTATTTTAGTGAATTTGACCCCCTTCTATCAACTATTAACCACACAGCAAACATCAGACTAATCACACATAGCAGACCTGTAGAAAAAAAACAAAAAAACAATTTGATTATCAGATTAGAGCACTAACTGTGTTAGCTGTCACCCATTAAGTATAATATGTAGGTCTAAAGCACCATATTTGCTCTAAACCTAAAATATGCCTCCTGTTCAACTCAGTTTACTCAGCTTTTAAGTGGCCCTGCATGCCATCTGGATTCACAATGTCTGGAAACCTCAGGGTTTTGCTTGGAGCATCACTTTGATAAAGAGAGAAATCTCACAAGTGAGCCATTATCTGTCACAACACAAACATTTTAAAGTGATGGTGAGTACTGGTGTGCAGGTAAATGTGTAATGAACAAATTAAAGTCTTTTTACATCGCTCTCAAATTAGGTCCCCTGTTAACCATATAAAGGGCTCACTCTGACCATACGCCACAATAATGCAACTACTCTACGAGCCAACAGTCCAGGACGCCCACCAAACGAGGCGCTGAAGCAAGAAAATTACAAACCAAGCATAGGTCTCCACTTTTTTTTAGCTTTATGACACACTTTGGACCCACAAACTGATATCCGTGCACATAATAATACTTTGGTACAGAAAAAAGCTGCAACCTCATTTTTTTGACTCAACAACACACTGTCCACAAACTATTAAGATAATGATGGAAAACACTCATGACCCACTATATAAGCATGTTTACACTCAATTAAACAGCATTAACAGCAGCCTCCATAGCCAATATATTGCCTTGATTTATTTTAGTTTATTTAACTAAAAAAATAAACGAAATTATTATTACATATAATAACATGCTATTATATGTAATTTTTTTGAAAGGGGGCAGTACTGCATATTTTCCAGGTACATGGTGCAATTTAATTGTTATAAAATGGCTTTAAATAAAAATTAAATTGAGCCTCTGTCTCTTTAAGAAGCTCCTACTCTTTCTCATACTCCATCTTTACAACATTACCACAACACATGGTGGTGGTAGTGTTGTGCATTATGCCGTTTACAACTGCTTTATGGAAATAGGCGGCGCTTTGTGGGAGATTCAAGAATTTTTCAAACATGCATGAAAGAATCAAGACAACACTCCAGGTATGTTTTTTATTGAGGGAACAACATTTCAAGATGAAGTAGAGTTCAAAACAAGTCAGTTTTACATATTACAGCCCCTTTAAAAGGATCTGAAAAACCAAACACTTGAACCACTCTAATTTAACATGATTAAATTAGAGAGCACTAGATAAACTGGAATGTCCAACAACAGCGCACTACTCTGAAATTGAGCAGTTTGCTTTCAACAGAACCATTTATGGACTATTTATTGTTGTAACCATTTAGGCATATAATGATTTTAGCAAGTCTTTTCAACAGGTTGTTCCTTAATAGATCCAATAGTCAAACCCCCCCAAAGCAATGACTCATTTGCTCCCAATGTAGACAGGATGACAGGCCTGTAGAACGAGTCAGCTCAAGTATATCAGCTTAAGGATAAAAATTAAGTTGTGTTTATATTCTTTAAAGCACTGGAGCTGAACTTTTCTGCAGAATTTTGCCCTACAAAAGTAACCAATGTTCACACAGTGATTGGACAAAAAGTGTGATATTTTAGTGATCATCATACATTTCACCAAAGGGGACATCAGAGACTTTAATTGCTTCCACCTGGAAAGATACAGAGCCCAAGCCACCAATCTGACTGTTGACCACACCCCAGTTCTCACGGTAACCTTGTTAAAACATCCCACCGCATAACTTCCTCCCTTGGGAGCATAAAAAAAGAAAAAAAAAAAAAAAAAAAAGGAGTGCCAGGAAGAAGAGGAGGAGGAAAAAGGAAAACAAAGAGAAAATGATGACATGCCGTGTGTCAAACAGGAGTAAAAAAAACAAAACACAAGAAAAGAGGAGGAGAGAGAGATTGGGTTTACTCAAATACAAAAAAGATTGTCACTCAAACCTGCTCAACCTCTGACCAAATGACAGCGTAATAATCTGAAGTCACGGTGAAAAGAAAGTGTACCATCTTAAAATTGTAGCATTTTAAGTCGAGATGCACAGAAAAATCAGAGGTTGTCCCAATTGCTGACTTCCAACTTCAAAATCAAAAATCAAACCTTTTTTTGATGAGTGAATCTGTCATACTAAATGTTCAACAATCAGAAAACGTAACCTGAAAGTCTTAGTCGTTTACATCTCATGCAGGGGTTAATTTTTACATATAGATTGTTTTTGTTTCCTTTTCTTAAGCCTGGTTTGATTTTTAACGTCATGCGCTAATTAGGATCTCACAACCCACACATCAATCAATTTTATAAACATTTTCAGTGAATTGGTGGTTAATTCATTGACCACTAATTCAATTAATTGGTTTCAGGTTTCAATTAGTAGAGGAAATGCGTCCACTCATATTTTGTTTTCAGCTCCTTGTATTAGATGACAATTGACACCAGTTTGCTCTGTGACTCCTACAATAACCAAGAAACTGCATTGAGCTGGAACACAAATATAAAGTCTTCCAATAATTTGTCATTAAAGACCTAAGGGTTTGCATAAATGTTCACTTCCAGAATAAATACCACTTAAGATCCCTACAAACTGTAGTTAGTTTGCTGCAGATTGTCACACCTTAAACTGAGGGGGACTTTTTTTCAAAAAAAAAAAAATCAAGAAAAACAGACACGCTATGATCCTCCCAAGCATGTGTTTCTGCAGTCAGATTTAATGCCTCCAGCAGAAATATCTTCTGCTCCTTACTCTGAAACCTGCTCACAAATCTCTCTGGAGCAAACTCTATGAGAACAATGGTCACAATATTTTAACCAGGCAGAGTTGCTACTTTGTTCCAAGAAAAAAAGAAAAATATGCTAGCAGAGAAATCCTCTCCTAGAGCGTAGGGGTCATCTCTAAAGAGGAAGTTGTGCTGCGTTTGATTTGTCTCAGGAGTCGGAGGTGGAAATTATGTTCCACCTGAGATGAGCGCGCTGTAAAAAAAAAATACATTTGAGAGCTGCCATTTGTTTGGCTGCTGCCTTTACTTCATATAAACGGGTGACGTTTCTATGAATCATGTTCAGAAAACTGAAGGTGTGAAATATGCACAATACTACGTTTAAACTGTTAATATGAATCATCGGAATAGATTTGGGCAACTTTTGATGCACTTGATATGCATGGACGCCATATTGGATCCTAACAGTTTGATAAGCTCAGACTTTCTTAATCGGAATCGGTGTTTAATTTTAATCAGGGAAGTATTTTGAATACGAAGAGGATGCACCTTTAAAGTGCAGGATTTAATCAGGAGGAGAATATGTTTGAATAAGAGGCACTAAATCGGAGCACCGAAGCACTAAAGCAAAGCATTTGTGCAAGAAAGATTGTTTTAACTTAACAGAGCGCACCAAAGTGAAATTAAGGAATCACACTTATAAACTGAAAACTTATTTTTGTAAGAAAATGTTCTCATAAAGCTACAATCACAAAGCCATAAATTAGAGTTTTTATTTTGCTCCAGGTCTGTCTGACCTTCCCAAAGTATTAGAAACCAGTTTAGAGCAATACTGATTTACGTCATCTTAAGGTTTTTAAAAGTAACTTGTCAGTTTTTCAATCATATTCAGTCCACTATTTGACCACTTTCAGATAAATGTTTATTTTGTTTAAGCCAAGAAATTCTGACCTTCAAGAAAAAAGAAAATGTTCCTAAATTTACTCTATAAACTAATGTAACTAACTTTCAAATATTTTTTTTCCCACCCTTGATAGGTCTTTCTGGGCTCCACTTTTTCATTCACCAAATTTCTTTAGCATGCCCTCAATATGAGGTCAGACAAAAGCACTAAAAAGGAAATCAGCAAAAAAGCTAAAAACAAAAACAAACAGAAAAAAAAAAACAGCTACGAGATTTTAAAAAGTCTGGCTTCTTGGAATGACTGTGTTTGTTTGTTTTTTGCATTGTGTCTTTGATAGTTTTTCTCACCTATATTAATGGCCGTCTCTTGCTTGTCTCCTGTGAGCACCCAGATCTTGATCCCGGCCCTCATTAACGTGGCGATCGTGTCTGGGACGCCGGCCTGGAGGCGATCTTCTATGGCTGTGGCTCCAAGCAGCATTAAGTTCTGTTGGCAAAACGCACAGAGCCAGAGGTAATCCTAGGAAAATGAACCCGTAATGGCATAAAAAAAAAGTTAACGAGGTTTTAAGAAATCATATTAGGACTGATTTCAGCCAGACATCAGGTCTCTGTAAATGTGAACGATTCTGACAACACCACACATGACTAATTTGGGGATGAGAGCGATGCCAGGCAGTTCAACTTTGAGTTGAAAAACCATTTAGCCAAGAGGTAACTCATTACCCTTTCCCATGCTAGCTTAAATTTGTCCAATGTTTAAATGCTTGTGTGCCCTCATTAGACACCCACACACACACACACAAAACCTAGCACGACTGTGTTGTTGACTCCGGTTTTATGGGGCTTTTGGCACGCCAGTGCAGGTAATTGCCCTTGTGGTCTCCCAGTCAGAGGTTTCCTCCTCCTCCTGCTTCCTCTTTTTTTTTCTCCTCACATACTTTTCTCACCTCAGCCCTTTCTGCCAAATCAGTTGGCTTTTAAACCTATTAGTTCAGTTCTCTGGTGAATCTCCCATTTGGTTTTTAACCAGATAGTGTCGTCTATCAGATAGACATGAAACACACAGCTGCATCATAAAGCAAAATATACACAAAAGACATTGAAGCACTTTAAAAATTGTTAATCTGTGCATTACATTAAAGGTGTAACAAATCAGTAGATCCACTCTGCCACCTGCTGGCAACCAAACTCCACAGTCTATAAATGCTTTGGCTTTATACTTCATGTCTTACTGAAAGTGAAAACATTTCAACACAAAGTTCTGAAAAGCTTTCTGTGTTTTCCCCTAATATTAAAATAAAATCTACACATTCAATGCCAAATTGGAGTCCTTTTTACATTTTGGTTTGTTTTGTTATAATCACAAACTTTAATGTATTTTTAGTAGGATTTTCAATGTGATAGACCTGGGGTGGTCAACTCTCACTCCAGAGCCATTATTAACCTGAAACATTTAGATGCATTCCTCCTCCATTGTAACTATGACACATTAATTTTTAAAGTTAACAAGGTACATTTTCACATCCTAAAAATTAACAAAATTACTTTTTTTTTTTAAACATACAAAAAGTCCCGAGCCAGAACCTTTGCTGCCGCAGAAAAACTAAAATTGTTTCTCTTATTTTTGCGTAAAAATAAGAAAAAAAACCAAAACTGACAGGATACTGTGACAGACTATTGTCATAAGTTTTTGCACAACTTATGAGTAAGTTGTGCAAAAAGGTGTTAGCATATTCCTAAAGCTATTCAAGCCTAAAAAAAGTCTTGGTGCAAAACATGTTGCAGTAAGCACAGATGTAGCCAATATAATACTACATATAGCATTATGTTGCTACAATAGATGTAGCAATGTATTGCTACACTGTTATAAGATTCTGCAAATCTTATAATACAAGATTTCCAGAACAATACTAGTGGGAGATCAGCAACATTAAAGCACAATAGATTAAACTTATGAATACCTTTTCCAGTAGTTCGTAACACTCCTCTAGTTTCTGAGTGCGGTCTTTAAGTTCAGTGCTAATACGATTGTATTCTTTTAACCACTCCTGATAGGCGCCTTCCTCCAGGTCCACATAGGCAAAACAGAGTGTCCTCAGACCTGAAGGAACAAAACAAGGAGAGGCTGATGAAAATTACACTAAGGGTAGATAAAACCGCTGTTGGTTTCAGGTAAATTTGATAATAAACTTGGTGTGTTTTTGTGCATGCAAAAACACACCAAGGAAACTAGGTTCAAATCTGATTTATGAGATGAGGGAGAAGATTTGGCCTGAATAATTGGTTCAAAAGCTGCTTTGTGCAATCACTGAAAGTAAAAGCCAAATAGCAAATTTACAGCAGGGACATTCAATGCTCTTGTTTTCCAAAGGATTACTTTGACAACTGCTTTCAGAAAGGTACATATTAAAAATATTGGAAGATTTCATCAGTAACCTTTTACTCCACCTTGTCTGTTTGCCATTAAACCAGATTAAAGATGGAACTCTCCCTGAAAGTCTCTGAGATTGTTTTTACACCAGATTTAGAAGAAATCACATCTAATTCCAGCAAATCTTACCCAGAAAAACTCTTGTGCCAATACCATTGTTATGACTCCATATTTAAAATACTTGCTAAATCCTATTTACGCAATTACAATAAATTAATTGCTAAACTATTCTCAATTTTCCAAAAAGTGTTTTAAAATGTCGCAATACAGTAAAAGATTTTCTTGAATTAGAGCTGATGCAAGAATGAAAAAAATAAATAAAATTTTACAGATATCTGGTAAATTATCACTAGAAAGGTTAAACAAGAATAGAGTCCTGTCCAAGACCTCTGGGCTCATTCTCCTGTTTAATATGTTAGCTGATAGCACTGCAGTTTATTTTCTCAACTGAATGCAAATATGAAGACATCTGTTGTTCTTCCAGTAGGTAAGTAATACCTTCAGTAGCAAACTGCTCCAGATGAGCGATGGTTAGATCTTTATACTGAGATGCTTCTGTTAGTCGTTCAAAGATGACATTATCCTGAAAAAACGAATTGAAATTTTAACCTAAATTCAAGATTACTGTCAGAATGATAACAATCTGCTAAACTTACAGCTCCTTTGCAGTAAAGCCGCAGCTTCCCAGTGGGCGTCCTCACCACCACGGACATGCGTTTGCGATTACTGTGGAAGAGGTAGGTGTAGTTTTGATGGAATGTCACAACACAATTATTTGGGGACAAGGACATTTCAGGGAGGATTACCTGGAGAACTCCAGTACGTTCAGAAGTTCATAGGTCATTTCCTTTCCTCTCTGAAACACAGAAAGCTTGTTAACTTATACCAAAAAAGGAAAAAAAATAATAATACAATTGCATTTTAGATTTTTGGTGAAACTGGTTTAAACAACTTTACTCACATGAAATTTGTTTTGGTGGAGGTTTAGATAAATAACATATATTATCAAGGATAAGTGAAATTCCTGCTAAGCCGTAATCTTTAGTACTTAGAATTTCAGGTCTGTTTTTGTTTAATCCCATTAAATTTGCAAGTAAAGTTTGCTAGCTTTGAAAATTCGTTGAATTTTCTAACTCTAAATCGGATATTGTGTAGAAGGGTAATATTCGGTGTTGGTTTTCTGCCACATACAACATTTTGCAAGTCCTCCAAAACGTCCAGTTTTTCCCTCATCTAATGAGATTACCTTGCCATGTCCTGTTGTGAATTTCTAACCAAAATCCCAGCTCAGATTTACCACACAAGCTTACAGCATCGATGATGACTGAATGAGGGGTCCTGGCTGTGAAGACGAAGCCGAGTCCTTTGGCAGCTTTGACCAGCGCTCCTTCGTCCGGTGATGAGGCCTGGTAAATTATCTGGTCATCCTCCCTCTCCGGTACGACAGTGTGGCACACCGCCATCATGGTCAGAAACTCGCAGATCTGAGGTGATGTTGGCTAAAAACATGCAAAAGAGTAGATACAATAAAAACATTCACTGTACCCTTCTAATTTAGATTGAATCGAAAACACAGGAAAAACATTTAGGACACCTACATGATTCTTTTCAATGTTTTGAATGAGACTCGGGTCGTCAAACTCTGTGGAGTTATGGCTGCTGGACGGCAGGTTGCTGAGAGTCAAAAACATGTTTCAGTGATTAGACAGAAACTAATGAATTCATAAATTAAAAGGTATTGTTTAATGCTGTATTTGAAGCAAGCAGGCACACAGTTAATCATTCACTAGAGGTGCAAAACAGAATTGGGAAGCTTGAATGGAAGTAACTCACCTGAAGTCCTCCATTGAACGATCACAGTCAAGATCAGGGAAGTGGCTGCAGTAATGAACGATGTTGAATCGTGAAGGGAATCAGGTTGAAAACAGTTGATTAGCTGATTAGTTTCTTTGATTAAACATGCAAAAGTACAATCAGCTCAACCTTAATTGAGTTAGCCTGCTACATAATGAAGCGGCTGAAACAGCAGAAGCGTGTTTAGCAGCATTCTGAGCTCATATTCTCTTATCAGGATCCTCGTTTTACAAGTAAACTCGGGATGTAAAAGAGGTGTTTAAATAAAGGATGACTGACCCGTATGTGATTCCTGCAATGGTACACTTCTTAAAGTGCATGATGTTACACGTGAGCGTTCCTGTCTTGTCAGAAAAGAGGTATTTCACCTGGAAGAAACAGAGATGGCTTAATTGTGCCACTCTTAGGTCAGAAGCCAGTTGTTGAGGATGGGCAACTGACCTGGCCCAGTTCTTCATTGAGATTGGATGTTCGCGCCATGGCCGGCGTGTCCGTCTCCGAGTAGTACATCTCAACGTCCTGAGAAGATAATAATATAGCAGGAACGTAACAGGAGACTGCAACCTGCTGCTCCGAAGTGGCTCTTTGGACTTTCCACAATGGCTCTTTAAAACTTTAGCTAAAAATTATGCAGAATTAACTCAACTTTCTTGCAACAATATGTAGGTATTTAATAATTTTTAGTATTTTTTTTTCAATACTAGCACTGAATTTTCACAAAGAATGACACTAAAAGTACTTGTGTTTATGTTTATTTTACTCAATAGAAGTAAAATGCTGGTTCTTTAAAAATAAGAGATTTTCTAAAGTTGTCTTTTTCAAAACGTTTTGGGACATTTGCAGCTTTGGTTGTCCTGAAAGCAAAATGGCTTATATGCTTGACGCCTGGTGTAGCAAATAAAATCCCGCTAAATTACATTGAAGATTTTGATTTTAGCAGAATTAATCGATTATTAAATAAAATATGATTCATACCCAGTTGATGAAGAGGGCTTGTGTGAACTTCACCACCTCCAGGGTAACTAACAGGCTGATGGGGATCAGGTTGTTGTAGAGGATTATGAATGTCAGCAGGTTGTATGCAAAGTTAAGAGATATGTCACCTGGAGGGGGGGAAAAAAATCAATTTAAAGTAAATCATGTGCATTTCTGTGGTTTTTCATGCACTAAACCTAACAGCTTGCAAGGTGAATATGCATGTGCTCTCACCGGCCCGTGACAGATACCAGCAGGCCTCGTCAGTGTGTTCCCTATTCCAGATGGCGGCGCCCACCGAGCTGACCAGCGCCATGACCAGCAGGATACCGAACAGGACCAGGATCTGCATGTTGGTCACCCGCTCCACGTTCGAGCGCTTCAGTGGCACCTTGGTGGAGTTCTGAACGGTGAAGAAACCAGAGGAGTAATAAAGTAATCTATGAGGCAGAAAAATCCAGCTAAACTTCTCTGTTTACTAAATAAATGAGTATTGTCGAATTATTACTAAAGAGATGGATGCATTATAAAACAAATTTGTTAATTTTAAGTATAAGAGTAAATGAAAACTCTTTGTTAAAGTCTTTAAATATTGTGTCAATTTTCAACGTAGAAACAATACGTTTCTTGGCTTTTCAAAGCTTAGAGGTTTGAGCTACCTGCATTAGTTTAGAGTCATGGCCAGTGTAGACGACGATTCCCACAACCCACTGTGTGTTCCTGAGCTGAGCTCCACGCAGCAGCACCTGGTCTGGACCCAGAGGAGCTGGACTGAGTTAAAGCAAATGGAGATTTTGCCCATGAGTGGAAATTTATAGCATTTAGGAATTATATTGGCTTCTTTTATGGCTCTGCTTGTCTTACACCAGATGTTTGGATTCTCAGAATTTCAGTTCCCTTGAAGGATCCAAATTTCTAACTCTGAACAGCCATTGTTACACAACTAGTTTCATACACATTTTACACATCTATCATTTAAAAATTTATTTAACCAGTTTTTTTTTTTTTAAATAAATCAATAAAAAATACAAAAGAAAGAAATTATCCATAGCTTTTTGCAATACAACTTTCGCTAAAAGTTGTGTATGTCTCACTTCTGGTTCACCAGGCGCAGCGTGCCGGTGAAGTCATATAGGTGTCTGTTGGGGCCTTCGCACTCCAAATGACCTGACAATGCCATCAAGTCATCCAGGGTCTGAAAACCGGCAGTCAGGGGAAGACCCTGAATGTAAAGAAAAAACAACGAAGTGGAAGATTTATAAACACGCAAAACAGTCCAAAGAAATTTGAGGAAAAGTTGATCATGTAAAGTTCCTGGAAAAATAAAAACATTTTCCACATTCCTTGGTCCATTTTAAATGTGTACTTGCAGAAATAAGCCCAAGTACAAAAGATTTTCACTATACAATCAAGACAGAAGTTCCTACATATTTTCATTTTAAAAAATCAACACTTTTTCCTGGACTGAAGCTATCAGTTGTCAATCCTCACTGAACAGTAGATGGAAGGAAACACAGACCAGTGGATAGATAAATTAAGATTTATGGATGAGCGAATAAATGGATTGATGGATGGGAAAAAGTAATAATGTTTGGAAATATTTTTCCCCCACTATTCTTTTTCCAAATCGTTCCAGAGCTGGAATTTTTTATTTTTTTTATGCATTTATTTTAAATCAAACTTTTTTATACTGAGTAGAAACTCATCAATGCGTAGGGAAACAATGGTTTCTAAAGCAATTTATTCTAAAAATGAGGAGAAAGGTTTTAAACCTATAGTTAAACCGGTGTAGACCAAAACCCAAATAAATTCTGCTAAACACAGATTATTGTACCTGTCTGATCTTCAGGTTGGTTTCTCCGTCCAGGTTTGAGGTCTCAATGTAGCACATGGCTTGTGGCTCGCTGGAGGAATGGCAGCAAAGTTAAAATGACAAAAGTAATTACACTAGATAAGTTGTTGGCAGTTAATTTAATTGGTTTGTTTAAAATTCAGTTAAAATCATGTGGAGTTATTTAAATCATTCAACACCACTCAGTCAGCAAAAAGTTAATTCAAACCCAATTAAGTAAAAAGGCTTGCCAGCGTCACATTTAGAAAAACATGTTCTGACATTGATCAAACAATTTTGTAAGACACACACACACAAAACGGAGTCTGACCTGGAGGACACTATAACCATGTCAGCTGGAAGATGCTGGCCATTGGTCACCTTCACTATGTCCCCTACTGCCACCTGGTGGCCAGAATGCAGAGGAGCGACAGAATGAGCGAGAGGAACAAGAGTTTGAGTGGGGGCATGGGCAGGTGAAAAGAGGAGGAAAAAAAAAGAAGAGGGAAGTTAATCAGTGATTACAAAGAAAGCAGTCATCAGAGGGAAAGGACTTGTGATAAGACAACAGCGAGCACAGCAGTGCGCCATGTCCTGGCCAGGTTGCAACAAATTCAGAATACAGAAACATAACAGCTTGAAAGAAAAGGAGAGGCATGGTTCAGAAAGCAAAAGTTGTTACTTTTATTTAAATCAGTCAAGCATGGTGCAGCCATGCCTGTAACCATAATAAGTAGAGAATCATTCATTACAGGCAAGAAGCTTTGAAACAAAACTGAAAGCAATGTAATGTTTCAAAATTACAAAAGGAAAACTAATATTAACTTCTCTGTCTTTAGTATGATCCAAAGGACAGCAACAAAAAAAAACCAAGGGCGTGGAAAGTTTATACACAGTATCACTACGCACAAGAGAAACTACTGTCCTATAGGTTGTTTATCCTTTTTGAAAGGAATGTAATGGATCTCCAAAATGTAAGCACACTCGGTTCTCACAGTCAGAGATTCAGAGAACTTTCACACAAACTATGACACTTTAGACAAAACTTATTTCAGAAGTAAACTTTAATGAGCCTGGATGACAGCTGGAACAAAATTCCCTTACCTGTCCAGACACATTGAAGCTTAAATGCTGATAAACAAGCTCGTCACCAACACGCTGTAACAAGAACCCGGATCTGACTTGATTCAACCTAATGGAGCGAGGTTGAGCACAGCTGGGCCCAGTTAATGAGGACATTCAATAAGGAGCCCAAATCTTAGGAAAACAAGTCCACACTGCATTGTGACAACAGAACATTTGGGAACTTGCTTCTATTAACTAAGCTCAACTGCGTAGCTGCTCTTGATTTGGTACATTTCTTCTCCAACTCTGATTATACGTTTCATTATCTCAATGAGCTGGCTTTCATTTCAGTTACGCATTAATTACCGTTCTTGTACAACTCAGGGAAATGCAGCACTCTCCACGCTTAATAGCTACAGCAAAGCTTAAAAACACTGAAGTGTTGCAAAAAACTGAACGTTTAAATGGAGTATATATATTTGTAGAGGGAAAGCTTATTCAGAAATAGGTTAATTTTTACATAATTATTTCTTTCCACACTTCTTCTCACATTTTTGAGCTGTTAATACTTAATGCTTCCCCTATTCCAAATAGAAAGCACATACTCTTTTCCTGAATCACATTGAAGTAAAGGAGAAGGGAGCTATTTGATCATTCCTTATCTACAGACCTGGGTTAACTCAACCTCAGTAACATTTGCAAACTCCAGGTTTCAGTTTGTGATAATAGAGTAAAAGAAAAAAATTCTGGCATTTTTAATGAAAGAAACAAATCCTTGAGGGAGTTGTGACCATCATGGAAAAATTTTGATTTTCTGTCAGATTGGGTTGACTGGGTGTTCAGTCCAAATAATGACTCATTTAGGATTTTTTCTCAGGTTTCAAATTCAGGATGAATTTATTTTTGGGACTGTCAACATTTTTCTTCTTACCCAACAGTTGTTGTATTCCCAAAAGATTTAACTTTAGACACCTTGAATTAATTTATAGTAATTTTTTTTTTCATAATTTCTGCCATTATGATGCGATGAAGTGAACAAGAAATCACCAGCATGATAAATGAGACGGCAGAAGCCGTGTTTGTGATGATAACGATACCTGCTTCCAGATGATCGTCTGCCAAGCTCCGTTCCGCAGCACTGAGAGACAAGGACAACACAGCCATCAGTCAACTGGTGCAGTGGCTCTCATGCAGTATTCATGGCCTCTAAACCTTTGGCTTTTTTTTTTTTTTTGTCTTGGCCTGAGTGCCCTCTAATGCTATAATGACCAACAGACAAGGGCCATTCATCCAACCATGAAAGGAAAACAAAACCCAGACAGGCAAATGGACGTGCATGCTCATGGGGAAAATGTTTTCTTTTCTTTTTTTTCTTTTTTTTAAATCGCTCAATATACCTGTCGTCTTCTTCTTGTTCACCGTGTTATCGGCTTTGTGTCTTTTCTGCAACAGGGTAAGAAGAAAGTAGAATAAAAACATAAATATTTATAATAAAGCATTAAAAACTTGCTCTAGGAGCAACACTGCAAGTCTTGACCAAGTCCCTGCTGAGCTACTCACATAATCCTCTATGATTTCTTTAATTCCCGCCACAGTGAGAATGAAGATGAGCGGCACCAGAGTGGTGTAGCGACCAGTCGGTGATACATCAGGGATTTGCTGATGGGAAAGAAACCAAATCTATACTTACGCATGTGCTGATGTGCAGCATAGAAGAACTATAGAAGAACTTATCTTTGATAAGTAGATTGCCAAGTGTTTCTGAACAAAAATTTATCAGCTTGTCCATTAAAAAAATCTAGGAAACATTTATTTTTACTTTCAAGATGTTTGTATAGATAATGTTTATGAGAATGTAATGGATCCATGGAAAAGTAATGAAATCTTGAAATGTCTGAGCATATTAAATATAGATAAACAGAATAATGCAAATTTTTGCTCTTACATTTACTTTATTTTGACTTTTTTTTTTCCCCGAAACATCTTAAAACACAATCTAATCATTTGCTTAGGATGATTTTTACCCTCGTTAATGATCAATATTGCACATACAAATACAACAAAAAATGGGCTTAAACAGACAGGGCTGAATGTTTCAGTGAAAGCATTCTGGGTTATAAAACGTCATTCTCATATACTTAAATTCTCAGATATTTAAATTTATATCTTGGCGTCCACATTCTGATGGAACAGGAGTTTGATCTAAATATACTTTAGATCAAAGGTACATTTAGATCATTTGGTCTGGAGACTAAGTCCAAGTCTACAACAAGTCTGTGGAAAAAGTCACAGATAGTCTTGGTAAAGTTTGCTGGATAACAAGTTAAGGAGCAAGAGAGCTTTAATCAACATCTCCATAAGATCCATGAAGCTAAACTTTGTAAAACCTGGTGCACTCTACATCCAGTGACATTGTGAGTCCAATTCTATTAGTCGTAGAAGTTACTGGACTTTTAAATGATTGTAATGGTTTGGAACCATCACAGTTGATGTTTCATTGTGAAATTGTAGACTTAACACTCACCAGCACCACAATGTGTCCCACTGATACACATTTTCAGTTTTGAACAGCATAAGTCATTCATGTATTAATGACTGGCTGTTAGCTTGCACTACTTGGAAGTTTTATTTTCCTTTTAACGCTAATGTCAACTCAAAGTAGTGATATCTCTGGTATAGGGTAATAGTGGAAGTATTACCAACTCCGTTACATTTACAGAATCTCAGAACAAAATTTATTTTGTTGTACTTTTTACCAAAAAAATTTTATTTGTAGATCAGAGATTGACTGCAGCCAAAAAAAAAAAAAAAGATAAATCAGAAATTTTCCACAAGATTTCTGACTGGTCCATTTATAAACTAAAAGACAAAGAATCAGGCCCAGCCCTGACCAGAACCAGCTTTAGTGTTTACCTGCATAAGTGCGATGAACAGGAAGAAGGCGTTGGCCGCCCGTCTGATCTGCTCATAGAGGAACCGGGGCAGAAATGTGAGAATGCCATACTTCGTGGTGCTGTTTGAGGAAAATGGAAACAACAGATAATGCGTTTAGATAAACAAGAAAAAAAGGTCATGTAATGCATTAGCAACTAAAGCTCAATAAATAATAGATTAATAAATATCAATAATGAGATCTTAACCTATAATTCTCTGGGGCATCACTTACTTTCGAGGATGAACAAAACAAAAACACCATTTGGACTATAAACTCCCAATTGTGCTCAGGTAAGGAAAACCTGAGCCACTAAAGGCTGCACACACATCATGCTTATAAATAGATCAAGATATTTAGTGCAATGCACTAAATTGAGACCGAGAATGTCAGAAAATAGGTGCAAGAAACCTTGGCAGCCCCAATTTATCTGTCAGTTGATCACACAGCTGTATTGATTAGCCTTGATTTAGCCATTGGCTACAGTAAGTGCTTTTATAGAAGCTAAAAATAAAGTCAACCTTCAAGTTAAGGCCTTGTTTTCTGGGGGGGTTTTTCCCTCTTTCGCCTAAGTGAAGAGAAAAGGCTTCTGCAATAAGCTTCCTTTAATGGATTGTGATGTTTCTGTGTGTGAGTGCTACGAGTGTGCATGCATCAACTGCCACAGACCAGTTCAGGATCATCTAGGAGATAAACCCGTAACCCGGACCACTGCCCCCTCTAGATCTGCCTCATTCTTACAGACACAAAATACAAGGAGCAGGATGTTACATGGAAAAAAACATGGGAGCAACAACTGTTGACCAGTAACACTGACACACAGGATCCTGACCTGAGGAGACAGATACCTCCGAGCTGGTGATACTACACACCCCAATCTAATTAAAGACAAGAGATACGGCACTCCAGCAACAGAAACGCATGCATTCCCATTGAATCAAAAAAAAAAGGGAAAAATGGAGAAAAAGCACCTGCATGTGTTAGTTTTTGTAGTGTACATTGCTAGAAGCGTGAGCAGCTGTTGGCAGCAGGGGTGATGCCGTCCTGCAGCTGTGCAGCTTTGGACTGTTTTTATAGAAAACAGCATTCAAAGTCCAGTGCAGTCAAAAAGTATTTGCCCCTTCCTTTGGCTCAAATAAAAAATAAATAAACAAATAAAAGATCATTGATCAAAATTTTAATACTAGACAAAAATAGCCAGAAGTTAATACCGAAGAAGTTTCTTAATTAAGATAAATGCTAGAGCTGCACAACCATAAAATTATTAAGCTGAAGCTGTCTTACAACAATAAAACTATCTGAAAAAGTCACCATGTCCCAATTTATAGAACTTCAAGAACAGATGGGAAGTAAAGGCATTTACATCAGTCCATAGGGTAAAGATTACAAAGCCATTTCAACGGCTTTGGGACTCCAGAGGATCATTATTATCGACAACTGGAGAAAACATGCAACGATTGTGAACTTTCCAGGAGTGGTCGGCAAACCAATACTAACCGAGAGGTCCTCAGCAACTCCTCCAGGAGCTCATAAATGACGTGGATGATGTTTATCAGTTTCTCACTGACCAAGTTAAGGCCAGTGATAAAATAACCAGGGAAAAAGGTCAACTATTCACCAATAAAACATGTTGAAGACTTTGGAAAATATTCTGTGGACATAAGCAACAAAAGTCCAATTTCTTTAAGTTAAGATAGCATTAAAAATATATACATCTACAGTCAGACAATGTGGTGGAAGTGTTATGGTGTGGGAGTTGATTCTGGTACTTGCTGTAGTTGAGGCAGGTCGTCAGGCTAACTTTGTTGCTTGGATAACCGTTCTCAAATTATGTAAAAAATGTTAAAAACTGCTCATTTATTTCTCCTCAAGTTATGTCCAACATTAAAACTGTTTGATCTGAAAACCTTTAGGGGTGACATAAAAAAGGCAAGACCAGAAGAAACCTTCAAAAGGCAAAAACTAATTTTTCAGCACTTCTTTATTCTAAAATGATCTTGCTGTGTCCTGAAGCCTGGAAGTGGAGAGGAGGACAGTGGAGTGAACAGATAAGAGCTGCAAAGCTTTGCTCTCAGAAAGAAAAATCAATAATGCTGTTGGACTTTTAAAACACAAACTAAAGAGTTACAGGAATACAAGGATATAAAAGGCTTTTTGCCTCTGGAGCAAGAGTGCTCCCGTACATCCAATCTGCACGGAGGAGAAGAAGAGCGCCCAAGCGCATCCAATCAGATGGCCGAATGGCACCCACATTAATCTCATTAGGTGAAATGTTTATTTTTTTCAAAGTGAAATTCAATCTAGCAGGAACACTCATTCTAAAACCTCACAATACAAGCAGAAAACAACCCCTTTCAGACACGCAATAGAAAAGTAGCTCTACAAACTGCAGACAAACAACAAAACTGCAGGAAAAGACACGAGGGAAAACGACACTAAAACAAAACAACATATTTCCCTAAAGATATGGGAGTACATGTGAGAGAAAAGGTGCAAAGATCTGCATTGGAGTTTACTTTTGTCGCACCAAAGCTGTGATAAACTCAGAAGGTCACGTCTAAATAAATCACACCAAAAGCGTTTGACGTGGAGGAGGCACAGGAGACAGGTTTTATTCTCAGTAACATCAGTCATGCAAAAATAATTAACCACAGTTTCCCCTCAGCAGAAACACACCCACCCTGAGGAGCTTTGTGTAAATTTATGTGAAACGTGTAATTGGGGTTTAATTTACCAAGCAGCATCAAATATTAATGCGGACATATTGATTGGGCAACACTGTGACATGTCATCTTGTTCAGCCAAGCTCTTTTTCCACCACTCAAGCACGTTAGCATCACCCTTTTAGGAAGACGGTAAATAATCACTAACAAGAGAGAGAAATTTTCAGGTGAAAATTTATGAGAATTTGTAGAAACTCAGGGAATGATCACTATTTTAGTAAGAGAAATAATTTTAAGAGAAAACAAAAAACATATATCGAAGGTTCAAAGTCTACTTGACACACAGGCGAAACACGGTAGTTGTCCTTCAACTCCACTCGCTGTGGATTTAAAACCTGCTAAGCAAATATCAGCTCTGATGGACCATCTATTAGCCAAACAAAGCATCAAAAGGTCAAAGAATTAACACATACACTATAAAATTGAATTTTGGATTGTATTAGATATTAAACTGACTTGCCTACAAATCGTTTGATATATTAATTTGAACAAAATTATGAACTATATTTTAATAACATCCTGAAAACGGTTGTCCAAACTGCCATTAGCTTTTCTCTTTTCTAAGTAGTTTCTGTTTTAAGGATGATATATCTACATAGAATGCACCGCAAATGAAAATCTTAACTTAGTGGGAGCTAAAAACTTTCAAAAGACTCATATTAATAAAGTTTCTATGTTGGAGCAAGAAATTATGTTTGCATCCCACTGTTAGCGTAACAAAGGCACTAATGTTAATTCTATGAGGAAATATTTAAATAATAGCACCTGATTCAGTTATGCACAAGCCAAAAAATGAAGTCTTCTGCTCTGTATATAATCTTTAATGCATTTTCAACATTCTTGTTGGAATCTGTCATGGTTTGTGGATCATTTAGAGTCATTATCTCTCTGAAAGACAAGGTTTAAAGCCTCTTGCAGCTGGGATTCAACCACTGATCTCTGGTGCGTTCCTCAGAAAAAATAACGTTTGTACGACTAGATGAAATTCCTTCTGAGTCCACGTCTGTGAAATGCTGCTCATCCATACTGCTCACTAAAGCAAACAAATAACATTGACACTTTTTGTATGGATCAAACTTGTCATTTAAGACATTAACAGCCTGAATATTTACTCTGCAGAAACAATATGTTGTGTTTAAAGTGTGCTTTTTGAAAAGGTCAACGTTTCTGTGAAATCCTGCTTTAAATATTTAGCATTTCTTCCGCTTGCTATAAAAAATGAAAAAAAATAGATTAATCTGTGAGCGTTTTCTTTTATAACTTGTAAGAATTTAACCAATTTAGTCGAGTAATTACATTTTGTAAGTTTGTGTATGCCTGTAGCCTTTTTTCATGAGCAACTTAATAGGAAGAAGGGCACACAGAGACGGTGAAGACATAAATAGCTCATCTTCTGCTAAAACTCAGACAATAACCTCACTGCTTGACCTCTGAGCATGTGGCACACTTGTCAGCCAAATACATTTTAATTTGTACACCGAATCCCCAAAGTAAAACATGATGGTGGCAGGATCATAGAGTGAGAATGATTTTCCTTAGGAAGAAAGCTGGTTTGAGCTAAAGTTCAGACTAAGAATCTGTGGCAACCTTGAAAATCGATGTTCACATATGTGCTTATCCTGATTTGACTGAACTTGAGCAATGTTGCAAAGTGGAGATTTCAGAAGCCAGATGTGCAAAAGTTGTAGAGGTATATCCAAAAAATATGCAGCTTTAACTGCAGTGAAAGGTGGATTTAAGTACTATTGACCCAGTACAGCTGCAGGCAAGATCATCCCAGATTTTCAGATTTTTATCTCCAAGAGACATTTGGTTTCATTTCAAATTAAGAATTTTGTCCTTCTACACTAAATCTCTAAAAATATAAAAGTAATCAATTTTCACTTAGCTGGTAGACTTGTGAGATTTCAACCCTAATAAAATTGTCAGATTAGTTTCACTGATTAAATTCAAACTAGTTTTTGTTTCCAGTTCAGTAATAATGCGGCTTTGTGTCACAAATCATGATTTTTGAAACCTTTAAAGAACTTCCTAACTTAAATAACTGATAAATAATACATGTCAGAGCAGAAATCAAGCATCACAGCAGTTGAGTTGTAAGCCTACCTCACGTGGTTGTCGCAGAACTTGGTGCTTTGGGTCCCGTTGAGGATCACAGTCCGCGCAGTGGCGTCCACGGGATCCGCCTGGGAAGTGGTCCCGGACATCTCGTCATCCGCCTTGCGGTACCCGGCGGACGAGCCAGAAGGTCCTGCGCCGTTGGATTGATGGGAGAGAGGTGAGGCTGAGTGAGTCCGAGTGGGAGATGGAGAGACAGAGACAGGGGAAGGGTGGCAGAGATACACACACACACATATAGACGTGGAGACGTGGTTTTGACAGATCAACAGCGACCAATAACAACCAGAGGACGGCTCCTGTATGCTGAGGTCTGCTGAAGCGGTTCGGGTCGATTCGGTGACGTTTCCCTTCTCTGTGTAATTGTCTATCAAGTGCGCGCGAGCGCGCGCGCTTCCCAACGCCCACGGGGACCCCCCGCGTGTAATAATGAATATGCTGAGTGATGCACAAAAGGCGAACAAACACTGCGGGTTAGTCTGCTTTTTATCAGCTGCTCGTGTGGACACCGAGCGCACATGCAGACAGAGAAAATCCAGAAAAGTGGCAGAGGAGGGAGAGGGGGATCCCACCCGCTCCTTCTTCTTCTTCCTCTCCTCCCCGCCCGCCTGGCTTTGTCATCTCGAAGCGTCGTGATCTCCGCTCATTCACCCCCGCACGCGCTTCGGCTTCGTGGATTTTATTCCCATCAAAACACGGGAGTCCGTGCGTTTCTGCGAAGACGCAGGCAACCGCAGCAGCCGGGTCGGGAAGCTACAGTTCTTTCACTCAGCTGCTGGAACAACGGCGAGCGTGCGCTGGCGAGGGTAGCCGTTTCGGCGTCACGCGCCTCCCCGCGCTCTTCTTTCGGCTCGGCTGAGCCTGCGGCCGCCGGTGAAATATAGTGAAGTGAGCGCCTCCACGCTGAGACGCGATACGGGGCTTTATCTGGTGCGTTTGAGGCGAGCTCCTCCCTCCAACATGACGGCCCGGCTGCTCACAAACGAAGCGGGGAAGCCATATGGAGCTCCTTCAGAGCTGCGGGGCTCGGCTTTTAAAGGGCCAGAAGCCTCGCATCGCCTTAAGGTTCTGTGGTTGGGCACAGATGGGATCAAATGACATGCGGCAGTCAGAAACCATCCATCAGAGATCACTTCATGTCGCTTTCTCTTTACTTTGATTGCCACTGCAGCTTCCTGCAGGACACCATTCCTCAAACCGTTCCCCTCTTTAAAATAAGAGTCTATTTATAATCATGGCATCATATTCTCCTGTTGTTTGTCGTAGGATCATGTCTGTAGGAAAGTCTGTGAGTGAAACCGTCAACAGGCTAATTGCATGAATAATTCAAAAAAGAATAAGCCCTGGCAGGGTTCTGCTTATTGAATTTCCAAAGTCCTGAAGTGCCATTTCTGCACCGCTGCAGTGCAACAGGAGATGCATTAGTCTGTCCCACCATCGATAAACTGGATTAAGTCCTTCGATTTCACTCAAGCAGGATATTCCGGCATGAAAAAAAAAGTGCACAGATGTAAAGTAAAGTGTATAGATTAATCAGCTGACTGTGACAGTATGTTTTGCAAAGGAAATTATACACTTAGCACTTTTTCATATTTTACAGAACGCCATCCAGAAACACCTGAAAATTGATTATTACAGTGTGAACATTGCATGTGCCAGTCACTTTAAATCTCAATAAAATACATTGCAGTTTGTGTTCGCAAAACAACAAAATATGACTAAGTTCTAGAGGTATTAATATTAATTGCACAACAAGCAAATTGTTTGGACTATTCTAAACAAAATGATTATTTTGAATGGGAAAAATACATCATCTTGACATTTTTAAAATTGAAACACTTCTACCTACAGCCTTACAATGCCCTCCACTGCCAGAAAGGGTTTCTAAAAGGACTTGGCGAGCCCGACATTCCCCTTTGTGTTGCAGTTCAATGAGCTTTAAATAATTTTGAAACTCTCCTTCCATCTCCCTGCTCTGCAGGGGGGCATTGTAGACGTGGGGCCTTGTGAATATTATCTTTGCTGTCCAGAAATTGAGCTGTTAATGTGTCATAACAGTCATAAGACTGTCACAAAGCAGCAGTTTTAAATTAGAAGCCTCTTCAGATAAGTTGCAAAACTAACTATTACTACCCATCTCCATACATAACTGTTCGAAGACACTTACATAAAATGAGTAATAAGAACGTTTAATTTACCCTTGAGAAAATAAGGTATTTTTGAAGTGAATGGAAGACAAATGAGCCTCTGTGTCACATCAAGTTTGAAAAATTTTTTCACTGTTTTTGCTTCCAGTGAAAACAGGAAGCAATGGGTTATGAAATTAAAATTATGATAGATTTTGATCAACTTTTAAAAGTAGATAAACACAGCTTTACCAGGTGTGCCAGAGAGGGTGTTTGTACGTGCAGCATTTATTCTTTGCCATCACACAGAGATCCAGTATGAGGCAAAGAGCAAGGGTCAAAGTCTGTTGAAGCAAATTGATAATTGACAGCCTCTCTGCCTTTTTCTATATCTTTGCACATGACCTAAAGAGAGATATACAAACTGAGAAGTGAGTCACAATCAGACCTCAGCACACTGCGCTGTAAACAACTCTTGGTGCAGCCAGCATAGGAGCAGACAATTCAACTGATTACAATTAACATGAGGTTGAAAGTTTAGGAAAAGGCCATCGCATTGATATGATCAAGTTACAGCATTGTCTTTCAAGAATCCTTTGGAAATTGTAAATACACTATCCTTCATTTTCAATAATGGCTCTCTCCATGCCACGCCTAACACTCCTTTCTGTGGAGATCAATGTTTCCACTAATCATCGCGGATGGAGTGGAGGCCGCAGATGCCTCTGTAGCTGCACTGATGCACTGCCGATGAGTCAGCAGCAAACCCCAACAAAGCACAGCCCAGGTCAATTACACACGAAGCGCCTGAGGCAGCCAAATTAGGAACCTCAGGTCTGATAACCTGCAGTCGGAGCAGGAAAGACTAGCCTGATCCCCACTCACCACTCTGATCTCATATCAAGCAAGAAAGATCCTGCCAGCTACCCATCTGGTTCCACAGTCTGAAACTAAACTAAATTACTTGAAAACAAGCTTGTTTGATAAATCAATAAAGAAATTCTGAGTACCATACACTTTCTAATGTCTGTTTCACACAAATGGCACTTCAAATTGAGGCAAAAAGTGAGCAATGTAATCCAGAAATGCAAACAAATAACTTCAGTGCGGAAAAAAAAAAAGACTTAACATTTTTACAAATTCTAGAGTTCTCAATTGTCCTTTGGCCTGGGTTGTTGGCAAAATTTCACCGTTAAAAAGCAGTCTGGGTCGCTGAATAATGCATGCATGGAGGCTGCATAATTCATCTACATTTTCCAGTATGGCAGAGCATATTGAATCCACAGCACTACACCTTGGTGTTGCTGCACTTGTGCTATCACTCCCAACAGCCACAACCAAACGGTCTCCCATCTGAGCTATATTTTAAATGGCAAAAAAAAAAGCCACTTCACAGACAGTTAAACACTTAATCCAATGATGCAGTTCAGAAAAGAAAAGAAATGAGCCGGAAGACATTAGCTGCTAATCATAACGACTGCTATGGCAGAGCTGCTGATGCTATCCCCAGATGTTCAAGCTCTGCCGCCACACATGCCACACTTAGGATAGGATTCTGGCTAAGTTCCTGTTTTTATTATCTGGAAGAAAAAAAAAATCTTCAAAGAGAATCAGCTTCCACATGGATGCATGCATACTTATTTCACAGCAAAACTTGCAAATTTAGCAGAAAGAAAGTCTTGGGGAGTCATTGTCAGTTAACATGAGGGTTGTTTTTAATCCAAAGACAGCGGCAAGCCTCACTGAAGTCTGCTTCCTCCCATCCTCTAGGCCTGTCACGATCATTACATAATCAACATATCACATTAGGTTTAGCTTGGTCAGCTTGGAAAACACCAAAAACATTTCATCTGGGCATTTTTCACCACTAGTAATGCACTCTTCTATGACCGCAAGGCACAATATGTTAATCTTATGCATTAAATCAAACAAGACGTCCCTATCTGTAATCAAAATGTCAACAACACGCCTCCGTACAGGACTGCACAGGAAAACATTACCTACAGAGCTCCGTCTGCCTGGGCGACCCTTATGTCCCATTGCGGCCCCGGCGCCCTGAGTCCTATTTCCAGCTCCTTGCTAATACGGTTGCCATCAGCCCCCGTGGGTCCATTTGCCACCGTACCGAAGTAGGAAGCAAAGGGAAGAAAGCCTCTTAGAGAAGAAGCGAGCGAGCATGATAATCCTTTCTGTGTCTGCTCTGCAACTTCACCTGCTGTTAATCCATAACCTGGTAATCCTACAGGTGGGACACGCACCAGCAACATAAGTTGAGCCTATGCAGACAGAACGCCTTGCAAACGTATTCACGTCCCTTGATCTTACTAACGTTTGTCATGTTACAAGCACAAGCGTTATGTGATAGACCAACACAAGGTAGCACATAACTGTGAAGAATATGGGAAATAGGATTTTCATTTTCTATTTTTAAAAAAATGAATCTGAAAAACCTGGCATGCATTTGTATTTGCTCACCTTAAGCAATTGTTTGGGTTCATCACTTGATGAAGGTACAGCTCCAAACCTGAGGAGAATTAACTTTTTTTGGCCATGTTTATTTGCAGAACAGCTTCCTGCCAACTCATGAAAATCACCCCCACAGCCTGATGGTGCCACTGCCACATCTGCACAATATTAGACAACTGGTCACTAATGCACATAACATTTTCCTTATGCTTCACAATTATGTGCTATCCTAATTCATAAAATAAATTGTAGCTTGTGGTTGTAAAATGACCAAATGAGGAAAGGTTGCCAGTACTTTTGTGACTCTGCGTGTCAACGCACCTTCGGACAACCACTTCCAGCGCACAGATGTATTTTTACACACAGACAAGAGTGCACGTTTTTATGCCAGAGGATGTAAAATAAACCATCATGCATCTACTCCCCTGTGCTTCTCTGCACCACATGCAGGCAGCACTTTTTCATGTACTTCCTCTGTTCATGCATGCCGTGGTCATACATGCATGCGTGTACTGATTTCTACAGCATGCATGTGCTAATATTTTTATTTTTGCCTCGATTTCTCCACTAATGTTCTAAGTGCTTTCTACTGGCAAGAAGCTCATGCAATTAGAGAGTGAAGTCCTGGTGCAGCATTCACCATTTGATCACTTCAGGCCCCAAGGAGCAACAGTTACTCCAGATCCAGAGCAATGGTGCTTTACTTTTCAGTTGCAGATTACGGAGCCCGTCAGGTGAAGTGGGAGAAGTTGTGGCCATGACTTGATATCTTGCAGTCATGTCTTATTTTTACAACTCATGGGCCGGGTTTGGTAACTTTTTGCTTAATTCATGGGCACGACTTAACTCCTGGAAATGCTTTGTTAAATTTGTGGGAACCACTTAATGATAACATTGATTATTGTAATTAATTATTATTAATTATCATTCAAAATTATAATAATGGACAAACATGTTCTCATTTCATTTCAATCTAGGAATAAATATAATCACTTCTTCAAACACTTGCAGATCTTCCTGAAATAATTCTTGACAAGTACTTGGCTGCTTTCTTTTGTTCGCTCCAGTGTCACCAGACGAGCTCTGTAGCAGATCAAAAATAAAATATTTTTTAAAATCCCATTTGTAGCTCATCAGGGTCGGAGGCTGGGGAAACACCTGCCCCTAGCTGCACATGCAACTTGGGTTTCTCATCATCCAGGTTGTTTTCAGCAAACTCACTTTTGTCAAACCTGTCTGCGAGGCGAGCACGCATGGTAGCGTTGGCGCCCTGGTCTTGGTCCTGAAGTTCAGAAGCCTCCTGCCTAATGGTGGTCAACACTAACTGCTCTGTGGGCGCCAACAGAGGCCACAGGAGAAGAAAACAACACACACAGGACAACAAGTCATTAGACGCGCAAAGCGTTTCCGAAAACAGAGTCTGCATTTCAAATTCACAAAGACATGAGATCCCACGTCTTCAAGTGGAAGGTGGCCTGCAGAACTGCTGAGAGAAATTTCTTCTGGCTTGTGCACGAGTGCCCCCTTGTGGCCTATCCGTAGAAACACCTCATTTTAGTTTCTACCTCTACTGTTCCTCCCAAAAGGGATCTTCAGTTTCAAGGTAGCCATGACGACCAGTCATTATCTTTCCAAAACAGAGGCGCTGTTGACAGTTTGGCCGATAAGCACGACTCGCATCAATTAAATACACAAAACAGTGGTACGAAATGCGACCACTTCCATTCGGTGCCGTTTGTAAAGTTACACAGTAAAACATTAACAGCAATAATTTGCTTAATTCATCCCCATCATTAAAAAAAAAAAGGTGCTCATTATTCAGTCATATTTTGACCATGTTATTCGCTCACTTATAAATGTCACAGTTCCAAGCTAAATAGTTCATTTGGAGCTAAATATTTAGTTTGCAAACCAAATATTTAATTGCAAAATAATTTGTATATAAAAAAATTATTTTCCGAACAAAATATTTAGCTTGATAACTAGTTTTCGAAATAAATATCCAGCTCCACATTCTAGATATTTAGGATGTAGACTTAGTAAATTACAAACTAAATATTTAGCTCATTTACTTTTTGGACTAATTATTTAGCTTGCTGGCTTGTTATTTTGGTTGCTAGCTGAATATTGAACTCATAGCAAAATATTTAAATCCAAGCTAATATATTTAGCTGATATGCAAATTAACGTGTCGTCAAGCGGAAGTGGAATATCAAAGGAAATGCTGGGTTTGCTCGCCTCTTAATAAACTCCATCGTTGAATCGTTGCAGTTGTCACTGAAGTTGCGTTTTCTTTCTCGTCGATTATTTTCCTCTCGTCTTTTCCACCGTGTCGGTTGAAAACATAGAATCTGCCGTTTTCATGGCTGTGGAGACGTTTACTTATGGAACTTCAGTTTCTCCATAAACATCCGCCGCTGCAGTCGAGTCAAATCACTTCCGGTTCTTAATCGATTCACGTTTCGGTTGCTTCAGAGCGGCTGTAAACGTTTATACACAAACAATATATTGAAGAATTTTTATATAAACAATTTTGTTTTATGAATGAACAAACATTAACTCTGGAACTTCGGTAGCCACTCTTAAAATAGCTAAATAAACCAAATTAATGCTGTTGTTAGAGCCATAAATAGAAAATATTTAACTAATTTGTTTGGTAGTTTGACTGTTTTATTTTATTATACTTAGTTAAGATTATTTGTTCAGACAATTTTTATTGTGAAGTTTAGTTTTATTTTGAAAGGCTTACTTCCTGTTGGGAATATGTTGTAAAGGAACAATTCTACTGACAGTTAGTTCACTTGACGGATTGTTTAGACACGGTGCAATACAGTTTTTGACCGTGTAAACTGTGTATTGTTAGAAAAGAAGGAAAAGGAAATTGTAAACGGTAGCTGTCATTTTTGTATTTGTATATTTTTTATAGATAAATATTTTTCGTTAAAATTTATAGTTTCACGCGTCCTTTACTCTCCGTGTCTAAGGAATGACACAGATATTGGATCTGTTGCCATAACAGCTGTAATTAATACTGTGCCATTTTACAAACGGCATCCCATTTTACAGGGATATGCATTCAAATTCATCAAGCAGGAACAATTTTATCAGTTGTATTTTGTTAGGACCTATTTTAGATATCCTGTAAACTTTAAAAGCAATACAATTTGTGAATATTGTGAGTAAAGATGACAGGCTGACAGAAGTGGACGTCATCACCTGTAGCAGCTCACTAATTGGAGCAAATTACCAAGAGATCAGGCTCCAAGAGATTAAAGTAAAGGCAACGTGGAGAGCATACTGAGCTGGAGTGCTTTTCACATGTTGCATTGATGTCCTAAAACGTGATTACTCTATGCCGTACCTGCATGGCAGTAGAGTAAATTATATCTGCAAATGTATGAACATGAAGAACTTTTAAAGTCGTTCTCCTCAAAATATTACTTGAGGAGATAGGATTTAGATTATGTAGTCAAAACATTAGTCTTGTGTTAGACTTACCACATTCACTTTAAAATAAAGCTTTATTAGCATGCTTGTTTTTTAAACAGAATATTCTGGTTTCACGTTAGTCACAGGGCAATAACAAGTTTATATAAATGTACCTTTTAAGACTCAGAAGACCCAGAAAACGTCTGCCTAAAGTCCTCATGGCCCAGATGACACGCTCACAATCTGCCCTGCTTTTTATTTCTGGAGGCTCCAGGAACAATACAGCCACTCACAATAACAAAGACCCCTGACAACATATGCTATTTAAAACACCAAAGTGGGATAAACATTCTTCTTTGGCAAATCAATCCGTTTAAATAACCCTTTGTCACACATAAAATCATCTGCTGCAGCCTCATATATGAGTATCTCCATCTCATCTCCAGCTTTTCTTAAGGAAAAAGATAATATAATAATAAAAAAAAGGAGCAGATCTTAAAAAGGACATTTATATAAATTAACCTGGCTGTTTCTTGGCATTATCATTTGGAGTGTCCTATTGGAGCTGAAACTGACCATTTAGCCAAAACTGGAAAGGCTGGTTTTGGCAGCTGCTTAAGGACTCCCAAACCAGCAGGGGGCGCCCAAGAGCATTAAAAGTCATTAAATCAAATGTAATTTTTATTCAAATAGTCCTTATAAAATCAAGTGTTTTGTTGTTAATTGATTACATCTTTAAAGTCGCAAGACCTGTTTTAAACATGAGAAGACAAACAAAGAACAAGATTGAGATCAAGGTGAATTATATTCAATAATCGTGTTATCAAACCTTAAGTTCTAAACTCTGGTCACCAAAGCAGAATTACTTTAAGTAATAAAAAAATACCTAAATATTTTAAAGCTAATGCATCTTATTCAAAGTGAACAGAGCTGGGCCAAGTCTGTACGGAGCCTTTTGTAGAGTTTTAACAGGAGGAAACCCTCTTCTTGTTAAGCCCATCAAGAAGGACTTAACAAAATAAACTCTAGAAAACCAGTGGAAATAGGATTCCGGCGACATACAGTCCACCAATGTCATATTCAGATAATACTTTCAAGTGAAGCACAATAATGGTTTTGTTGTAAATATTTGAAAATAGGTGTACCGTACTTATATTGAGCTGTTTTTCATCACAAATACTACTAAGATCTATTTTACACTGAGACATATTCACCCAGTCACACTACACACTCACACACAGATCATGAGGCAACTTAAGTGAAGGCAGTTGGAATCAAACCCACAACCTCTCCCCATATTCTCCGTAAGCTTGTGTGTGGCGGCGCCAGCCGCAGACCACACCTTGTAAATCTTCCTCAAACTCTTGAATGGCCATTACTTCACAGTGAAGCAGTGATTATTCCCGTTGCTTGTGTTTTCCCAACACACTTTTTCCATCCACTAAACTTTCCATAAATATGCTTTGCTACTGCACTTTATGAACAGTCAGCCTTTTCAGCAATTAACTTTTGTCACTTAAACCATCCTCATGTTTTTGTGTGTGTGTGTGTGTGTGTGTGTGTGTGTTTTTTTTTTCTGATTATTGTAAAAGACAAAAAAGCATACACACGTGTTACAAATTGTTAGCTTACTTTGTAATTTTCATATAAACTGAATTTTGGGGTTTTCATTGACGTTGTGTGATTATTCTGCAAATGCTTTTTTTTTCAAATTATTATTATGAGTATTCGACAAGAGAAATAAATGAACCTTTCGATCAGATTTGAATTGATTGAGATGCACCTGTAGATGATGGCCTAGCGGGGCAGCTCGCTGCGCTCCTCCGGACGTGTCACGTGGTTTTTAAATCGGCTTTTATTGGATCGGTGCTGCAGGTGCTTGGCCTGGACTGTCTGGCCAAGACGATGCACAGATATTTTACTATCAGAGTCCATTCATGCATCCAAGCGGGGTGGAATGCAATAATCCAATGCTACAGATTTATGCAAAGCCATAATGATGTCGTGGATCAGTTAATGCAGCACCTGAATGAGCGATGAGGTTACACTCGAGACATTTTCACCCCAAAGTTTTGGTCGGCGTTATAGCACCATTAGCGATTCCTTGATGAAAATATCAGGGTTACACAACACATCCGTCACCTGCAGACTAATTGCCCTTGAATTCTCATCCGGAGGCTAAAAATATGAATAAAGAGATTTTGGGATACTGCAAGTCACCCCATATGCATGCCGCAGTCCGGTGTTATTATGCCAGGCACATACCAAAAGCACCGAGTCCAAACAGGACGGGACAGGCCGCTGAATGTCCAGCAGGGACAGGCCTCAACTAATGAGATAAGCGCTTCACAATGACAGGTCGCAGTGCGAGCGGCGGGATGAACCCTGATTGGTCCGCCGTTAAACGAGGTGAACTGGGTTATTTAACTCACCTCCCTCGCTGTGGATCTTCTTGCCTCTCCGGTTGAAATACATCTTGCTGTGGGAGAATGACAATCGGTGTGACAGGGACCAGGACGAGGAGGAGGTGGAGGAGGAGGCCGGAGCGGTAACATGCTCACGGCTCGCCGACAGAGCCGGGGAGAGCCGCTCCGGGACCGGGCAGAGTCCGCCTCACCTGCCGCTGATCCTCCTGCTGCTGGAGCCGCTGGGCGATCATCGCTTCTCTGCTGCTGAACCGCGGAGGCTCCGATGAAGGGGGCAGATCCAAACAGCGTTCATTTCATATGCAATGCAGCGCCACATCCGGCGGATTCTTTCAAAGTAAATCACAGAACTGATCAGGTTCCTGTAAAAGATCGGCACCTCCAACAGATCTGTGAAGAAGCTCGGATGTTTTTGAGTTATGTTTCATTTTCCTTTAAGATTATGATTTATTTTCTAATTGAATTGAACAGACACAGGAAACTGGCGTGGAGGCTCACCTTCCAAGAGACAATCACTCAACATGAATAGAATGGTTTAATTAAACCATATATGTCTTCAAAGGGTGGGTGTCATTTTATAGCACAATCGAGTAACTATGTTACTTTCAGTTGTTATAAAATAGAATAAAATTTTTAAAAAAGCTTAAATGACTTAAAAAATGACTTTGCATTTTGATGCTTTGAAAGTAGACCTCTGACTCTTTAAGAAGTTCCTACTCAACACTCCACCTACAGCACAAGTTTAATACAATGTTTATCATTAAGCCTTTGACAATTACAGAATCGGGGGCCTAAATACAAATACACTTCTTGGATTTTTATTTCTAAAGACAAAAATAATTGAACATTTAAGACACTATGGTCTATCACAACAACAACAACAAAAAAACACTATTACGTTTGCTGTTGTAAAGTGAAAATAACTTCAAGGGGTATTAATACTTGTGCAAGAACTGTAACAAGGCATTTCGAAAGAGAGAAGACAACCAGTGTCTGATTTTTTTTTTCATACTATATTCATCATAGCCATTTTATTTACTCTCATGACAAAGCAAAATATATCAGTTCATATTCCAAAAGCTGATTTCCATCATATTAAATAGGAACAGAATAAATATTCACTTCTGAACCCTTTGCCCACACCAACCCCACTACATGGCCACAGATTGAATAGAAGAGTTCTTACAGAACCAGCTTCAACAGACACCAGGCCTTTTTTTTTTATACACACAAACAAACCATACACTCTTCCACACATTCCTACACATGGTACTGCAACAATCCTGCAGTTTCGTTGGGGGTCACAAAAACTGCAGAGATGCGGTTAACTGGTGTGTACTGCAGCTGTTACGTATAAAGTGACAGAAACAAATGTACTGGGTGGGTTAGCTCTTAATCCATTTTTTTTTTACACAAAAAGGCTATTCTGTGCATGTAATGGAAAAAAAATAGATTAAAAAAAATACATCAGGTTACACACCAAGTCAGATCCTATATGAGGAATTTTGAGTTAGCTGGACAAACTGTACACACTGAAGAATAATCTTATTTCCACATCTTCCCAGTCTGTTCTCTGCATGTGGACTGGCAACAGAAACAACAAAGACATTGATTTAAGAGTTTGTCTTAGAGTGGAAAAGACAACCAGAGACAACAAAGTTAATGTTGTCCTCTCTCAATATTGCACAACTTTTGCGGACCAGTCTGAATCCCTGATTATCAAAAAAGCCTGTTTTACTGGAACTGTGGCAACAAATCTTTAAATGGTTTTAATTCAAAGTGGCTGCTTTTAATGGATGACTGCTGGATCCCTGTATTGCATCTTAACTGTAGGGCTTAAATTAATACAAGCACAGAATGAATGCATTTCCAAAGTGGATACAAAACTTGTTTAACCCTCTCAAATTTCACACATTTTAAGAAACATTAAAATGAACTCTTTAGGCTTTAAAATAGAAAACAAACAATAAAACAAAAAAAATTTCCTTCTTCTGTTCTGAGCAGTTGGGATGTCAGCCTTCTATCTTCAATAACCTGATAAGCAGTGCAGCCCTATTTACAGCTCGTACTGATTAAACCAAACCTACAAGTGTGTTGTATGGTCAGTTCTAAAAAAAAAGGTCACGCATGTCAGACATAAAAGTGTTAGAATCAGACTATTCAACGGTCGCTACAGGAGCTCCTAAAGCATAAAAGCCATTTACTGACAGACTTCTGAAGCCCGATGAAACAAGTAGCAACTAAGGTCACAGGAGGAGCTAAACGACTTGCTCAAAACTTAGCATCTAAAAAAATAAAGTTTTTTTTTTAATTCTCTGGATTTAAAGTTTCTTTCCTGTTTTGAACACTTTTGGTTCCACCTTTTTAAACTCAACGGATGTTGTCAAAGAAACTAAGCAGTGAAAGCGATATGTACATGTTAAGCCCACTTGGGTTTGCTCAGTCTCAGCCAGCTGTGAGCAGGAAAGGGAGGGGTCAGTCGTGATGCGCTGCGAGGATTGGCTGCCTGCAGATGGGGCAGGTGTTGTTCTCGGAGAGCCAGCGGTCGATGCAGTGGACGTGGAACTCATGGGAGCAGGGCAAGCGCTTCAGCTTGTTGCCTTGAGTGTATTCGTTGATGCACACGCTGCAGGCGCGACCCATCTCTCCTTCGAGGCTGGCCTGACCGTACGTACGCGTGGATAGATTGTCAATCTGCTCTTTGGTCAGGCCTCGGGGATGCTCGTCGTCTTCATCGTCATTGAGTAAAAAAAAGTGTGCCAACCTTAGGATGGGCAAGGTGCCGTTTTCAACCAAGTTGTTGGTGTCTCGACTGTTTGCCCGTCCGTCTATGGAGCTAACCACGCCACCTCCAAATCTGGCCTGCCCAATCTGCTCATCCTCGCTCCTCACCTGGCCCTCCAACCCCTGATCGACCTCATCTGTCCCAACCTGGCCAGGCTCATTCTCATTTAAATGTAAACGACTGCTGCTGCTATTTGTAGCACCAACGTCAGCGTGGCTGGGCGTAACGCTTTCCGAACTCGCTTCCGTTTCCATGAGCGAGCTAAGCTCCCCAAATCCAGTCATAATCTGACGCAAGATGGACCGCAGGGCGGTAGAGTTGGGTTCTCCGAGGCCCGTCTCGCTGATGCGCCTCAACGGAATTCGGATGGTACTGACGTAGGTGCGGATCCCGGCCCGCTCTGAGCGGGAGATGGTGCGTCGGAACCCACCGCTGTCACTTTCAAACGTGACCGTGTTCTCGGCTACCCGCGCACGGGATCGAGTTCTGCTGGCGATGCTGTCCCGGTCCCGGTTCTCGCCGGGCCGGATCCTTCTCACCTGCAAGTCCAGCATGATTGTTGGATGGCGTCTGACTGCCGAGCTTCCTGCACCTGCTGCGGGCGACTCGCTTGCGCGCTCTACTGTTTCCACGGCGGACTCCAGCACAGCGTCGGGTTCGGACACAATTCCCCCGGTTTCCACGGATACAGAGGTCGTGACACCACTTGGCTCACCGGTTTGGATCGTAGACCCGTTTGGACTGCTACCAGTTGGTGGGAGGGTGCTGACACTGGGTGTTCTGTTCAAAGGGGATCGACTTCTCCTCGATGCGCGAGAAGAAACTCCGCCCCCTGCTGCGGCCCTGCGCGTCCGGCCACGTGATCGAGTCCTGCTGCTGCGTGATTCGTGTCCCCCAGCTTGGGGTTGAGAGTCGCCCTGTGGCGACACCCGAGGACAGTCTACAGTAGGAGGCATTTCATTGCGCCCGTGCTCTGCCTCTACATTCAGGACATGATGCTGCAATGGTGCACTTTGATCATCGGGAGGACTGGGCCCAGTAGGTGCAGGTGCTGATGAATGCAAAGTAGAAGCCCGCCTCTGGTTGGTGGCTGGGACTATCTCTGCAGGAGGAAGCATGGCGGAACTCACGGACAGAGCAGTGGTACTGCTGCGCGTACGCCGAGTCTCGATCCTTCTTATAGCCGGGCGTGGGGAGGGGTAAGGCGCAGGCCTCGGAGTGGCTGAAGGCCGAGAACTGGAGAGGGGGGATGCGGTGCGGGCAGAGGTGTTGAGAGGAGTCACCGGGAGTTCTGGGGCATCCACAGAGTTCACAGTGTCAATATGCTCTCCCGGCTCGGGCTGATCATGGTTGATGTTGATCTCCAGACTGAAACGAAACTCTCCGCTGTTGGGATTGGTCCGGCTGACAGCCCTCCACGTCTGGTTACCACTCTGGCCGCTTCGAGTCGCGTTACCGGTGCGCCTGAACGTGTTCAGCCACTCCAGTAACGAATCACCATTAGAAGAATCTGCTCCAGCTTCTGTAGTCCCTATAAGTAAAATAACGCAAGTCAGACTTAAAAAGTTAATAGTCAACACATTACGAAGGTGCTCTGTCAATAACGATGTATACAGATAAACACAATTACTTGTGATGTCAGGTGAATGAATAAATTGTATTTTTCTTATTAATCTGAGCTACAATGCAGACTAGCATTCAACATCTATTATTGTAATTTTACATGGCAAATCAACATCGAGTAGAGTATAAATTTGAAAATAATATAAAATTTAAAAAAAACCATGAAAAGCATGACCCATTTTTCTATTTAAGCCCTGATACATTGATGCTCTTAACCCTTGTGCAGTCTTAAGACCCCATGAGTTTCTTACTGTGCGTAGGCCCAACTGGGTCACACTGACCCCGAGTACGCTGTTATAACAGTTTTTTTATGTGGTTTAAAGAACTAACAGTCTGACAATGAAACGCCCCTCTCCACCGCTGTCTGACCATGACATTTCCCGCAATTCTTCTGAGCATCACACTAAGATCGTGTGAAGGTTAAATAAGATCCAATTAACTGCTTCAAAAATTTGAACTTGCCAAAGTTACAACAGCAACAAATATTCTATTGTGCACAAGCCAAATTTTGGCTTGATAGAACCCCTTCCCCCCTTCTTACCGGCCCCTCCTCTTCCTCCAGCCCCTCTCTCCTCTCCTGTGCTGCTACTGCTCTGCTGTTCTCCAGAATCAGCAGTCTGCGATCGCTGCTCAGCATGGGGCTGAGACGACACACGCTCTTTGGCTCCGTCCAGGCGCTGACGGAGCTCCTCTGCAGTCACCTCCCCTATAAAATATGGTAGGTATGAACATGAAGGCTATTATAGCATAAATTGTACAGAATCTATTATGTTGGAATGACGGAAGTGTCAAAAATTCTCAGGCAATTCTACTTAATTTCATTTTGGGCCTTTATTTTCTAATTTATTCATACATTCAACATCTTTTGCATCTTTTGAGATCCAAAAACCTCTTG